ATATGCAAGAATTAAATTTCTGAGTCCTTGCATGTCTGCAAATGTCTTCACTGATAGTCTTGCTGGCTATAGAATATTAATTCAGGATCCTTTGTAGAAACCTTTTTTTTTCTTGCTAAAGGTATTAGGTTTGTTATTTTTCTGTGGCAATCTGACATTTGACAACGCTATACTTTGGTGTGGCTATTATTAATTCAACGAATATAAATATCTCTTTAGACTGGATATTCAGGTTTCTCATCTGTAGGTGGTTTATCTTACTATTTCTGTGATAATTTATTACACTCTATTTTTGCTCTTCTATTGATCCTCTAATTTCCTTATCTTTTTAACTCATTATTTTTTCTGTGTTAAATTTTGTCATGTCAATTATATCTCAATAACACTGGGAAAAATAGCCCTGGCTGGTGTGGCTCAGTGGATTGAACACCAGCCTGTGAACCAAAAGGTCATCAGTTCAATTCCCAGTCAGGGCACATGCCTGGGTTGCAGGCCAGGTCCCCAGTTGGGGGCGTGTGAGAGGCAACCAATTGATGTTTCTCTCATGTATCAATGTTTCTCTCCTTTCTTTCTCCCGCCCTGCCCCTCTCTCTACAAGTAAATAAATAAATAATCTTTTTTAAAAACTGAAGAAAATGGAGTAACTTTTTCTCTCTCATATAGTGGAGGATTTTTTCAAGTATTTGACAATGAGAAGTTATTGTTCTATTTATTTCATTTGTTTGGGAGCTCAGTGTCCAAGGTTCCTCTGGTTAGCTTGGCTTTACAGAAACAAGGTGAGGAGTTGGCCTTTATGTAAAAGTTGCCTTTTCAAAGTAGACATTTAACTGCCGCAGAGTAGAGCCCTCTCTCTGGATTATAGCCAGCTGGGTGGAGATCTGGCCACCAGGCACTCGCCCTAAATGTGATGGTTGGGGGCATGCATTCTGCATTGAGACTCTCTGTTCATTCCCTTCTTTCTCACAACACCCCTCACTTCCGCTGCCTGTCTTACCGGCCATTTTCAAGTCCTGAGTTTCTCTGAGAACACTCTGGAGAGCCTCAGGTACATCCCCACCTTCACGTGTTCCTGGACTATGAATTTCACTGCCCTGCTTTATTACTAACCACTCCTTGATCAATTTTCTATCTTCTAGAAAATTCTTGAAATCTCTTACTGGCTAACGGCCTTTTTCCTGTTACCTTTGTCATTGTAGGTTTATACCCTTTTACTCCTACACTATTATTTAGGGACTCGATTAGAGAGAAGAGATAAATATGAGGAACAGGTCAATCACCTTTAACCCAAAACCAATAGACTAAGTTAGATGTAGAAAAGTAGAGGAATACAAACATTCTCACTCTCAGCATTCTGGATTTGTCAAAATCACACCTGCTACTATCATATAGTCTGTCCTGAAGAGCTGTTGTTTATTGAGCACCTATTAGAAATCATTCCAATGTTTCTCAGGGCACCCTAAACCTATATGGAGTTTAGGAGGAACACACTGTGCCATGTTCTTTTTTCCCCCTAACCTGGGTTCAGCAACGTGACAGTTCCTCTCCTTCTTTTATCCCTTACCTGAGAGCAAGAGAGGAGGGCAGGTGAGCACAGTTCTACCTCCCTGGGATGAGAGGCAACACTCTAGGAGTCTCGAATCCCTCCTCTTTCCCAGAGGACACCCCCACTGTTTTTCATATGTTTATTACTCTAGTGTTTAGTGAACATTTACCGTGCATCAGACTCTGTGCTCAGTGCTTTACAAACATTGTCTCATTTCACAGGACCTTACGAGGTGGGTACTGTTACTCCCACTTTACAGAAGCAGAAACCGAGGCACAGAGAACACAGAAACTACAGCACACCCAAGCACATGCCCCTGACCTACTGTCCGCAGCGCAGGCAGGTGAACAGATTCCTCAGTCTCCCAAACTTGAAACGCATTATGAAGTCACTGCCAGGGGGTAAGAATACTGGACACAGTTCCCAAACCCTCACTCAGTTTGAAAACTCTGAGGTACGAGAACCATCAGCTGCTTGCGGTCCTCCTCCCCTCTGCTCGCTGCAAGGTCACGGCCGGCCCCAGGGCCCCGACTCTCCTTACCCTCTGGCGACTTGCTTCAGGGTTAGAACTTGTTCCTGTCCTCCTCTTTTCCTGCCCCCCTCCTTCTCATCCTCCTGTTTCAAATAATTGTAGACTTATAGAAAAATAGCACACAAAGAACCTACACCCAGCTTCCTGTTGTTAACATCATGCATAGCCACAGTACAATTACAGAAACCAGGAAATTAGTGTTAATACTATTCATTAATCTAATGCCCTATTCAAATTTCACAGGCTGTCCTACTGAAGTCCTTCCTTTGTTCTAGTATCCAATCCAGGACGTCACATGGCATTTAGTTGTCATCTCTTTAGTCTCCTCTGGTCTGAGACAGTTCCTCAGTTTGTCTATCTCGTGACCTTGACAATTCTGAAGAGTATTAGCAGTTTACTTTGTAGTCTCCTCCAATTTGGGTTTGCCCAACATCTTCTTACAATTAAATCGAGGTTATGCATTTTGGGCGGGACCATCATGGCAGCGACACTACCGCCCTTCTCAGTGCACCATATCAGGTGCCGTGTAAGGTCAAGTGCATTATTACAGATGATGTTCATTTTGACCACTTGGTAAAGGTGTCATCGGCATTTTTCTCCACCCTAATGTTACTAACTTGAATTGACAAATACTTTGCAGGAGACACTTTGAGACTACAAATGTCCCATTTCTCATCATATTTTTACTCACTATTTTCAAAATCCGTTATCTGTCAGTGACTCTCGCCTACAATTATTAGACGGAAACTTCAAGTACATCCTGTCTCCACATCTCACTCACTTTCAGATTCAGGTCATGTCTAGGATCTCTGAGTGACCAAGTCTAAGAGGAAGGCTTGTGTCCTAGCTACGGGAGATCTTAAGCATTTGAGTTCCTGAGATCTTGGGACTTTGATTTATAGACTTAGATAATAACACATGGACTTCTACAAAGACAAAGAGGACTTTCCAAGGATAGTAGGCAGCCATGAATAGGGCTGGCACCACGTACAACCACCAAGATATTTTAAAGAGAGAAAAGCAAAGTGTGGAACAATATGTATGGACTATTATCAATTGCATCAAAATCAAAATTGTTAGCCTGTATGCATTAACTATCTCCAGAAGTTTTAGAGGAAACTAGTAGCAGTTTTCTCCAGAGAAGGAAACTTTATAATCAGGAGAGGTAGAAGACTTAATTATCAGTGTATATCCAGTATCAGGCATTACCCTGTGTACCCCTGGGCTGAGATGGATGCCAAGGAAGGGAGAGGAGAAAGGAAAAGCGGGAGGGAGGGTCCATCCTTCTCGCTCCTCTCACTCTCTGCAGTGACTCCAGCACCGTGGCCTCCAGCAAGGCCTTCTCCCTTTGCTTTGCTCTTCCTCGCCCTTCTTCATCTACTGTGGATAGATCAGGACACACCCTTACAAGCAGAAAATTATAGAACTTGCCTGGGCATAGAAAGTGCTCGTTATCCACCCAGCTGGAAAGGAGGGTGTAGCTGTAATAGGCACATTCTGCTGCTTTGCACTAAACAGACCCTGTTCTCCATAAACACGAACGTTGCCATCTCTTAGTTGCCAGACTGTTAGCATATTTATAAGACGAACGCTCAATTTAAAAACTTACATTGGATAGCACACTGTTTTGTCAAATAACAACATCAATTAAGAAAAAAACGCCACCCCATGTCTTCTCCCAGCAGCTTTTTCATTCTTTCTAATACAGAATTTTTTTAATTCTGAGGTCTCATCCAGTGAAAGTGGGAAGGTGCCAGAGGGAGAAAGTCGCTTGTGTTTAACAAGCTAAACATCTGCTCATCTGTTCCCTTTCTGTTTAGTGAACACAGAACATGGCCACAGCTCTCGCCCAGCCGATCTACTCACACCCCAGATGACCGTGCAGGCAGAGCGGGCTTCTCTTTTCAGGATACTAATTATCATGTCAGTTTTTCAGTATATGGGCATCTGATATTAATTATCACTTTAATATTAGCCCGTTGAACATGTAAAACTTGCAGGTCAAGAGATACAGCTCCTCTTTATCCTCCGCCTCTGCTAACTGAAGCGCAAGTACTATCTAACTAAAAACTATCTTACAATCGTTTTCCAGAGACTATAGGCAACTATCGAGCTCTTAGCCAATGCTTCAAATTCCGTCCCAAATCACCTCCTTCCTGAAGACTTCTGTCACACTCTCACCACCCTGCACACCTGGCAGAGAGGCGGGCACCCCCCTTCGGAATTCCTTAGCACCAGAGCTATGATCTGAAGATAAAGTCTGTGCCCAGCTGGCCTGAAATTTTTCGGCGCATACTGCAGTGTCTATTTCAGCGACACGACTGCTGAAGGAATAAATAAGCTGTTTCATTGCTTGATTTATTATGTAGATGCATTAAATAACTGACTCAAAGTGTTGATTCTACTTGCTTTTTAAGACAAAGGGTGATTACTACTTGTTCCTATACGTATAAAATGTTGAAGTCCAGAGTACACTTTTTAATCCACTTCTAACCCCGGACCTTAGAAAATGGATGGGCTGGACCTATTTCTCAGGTAGTAATCAAAAAAACGAAACATAACAAATCCAAGGACACATAATGTGGGTGAAACTCAAAAACATAACTTTCAACAAAAGAACCCAGACACAAAATAATACATATCATCCCATTGCATTTATATATGGCACAGAGATCGGCAAAACCCTTCTAAAGAGTCAGAGGTCAAGACAGTGGTTACTCGGGTGGGGGAGGGTAGTAACCGGAAGGGGAGCTGGGGTGCTTCTGGGGCCTGGTATTTGATCTGGACATTCAGTACACAGTTGGTGGAAATTTATCAGCTTTATATTCATGATTTGTGTTCTTTCATAAACAAATATATATAACAACAGTATGATATATGTGTTTATGTCTCTGTGTATGTGTGTGTGTGTACACACACACACACACACACGATTTCAATGAAATCTTTCTTAAAAATCTAGGACAAGCAAAGCTTAAAAACAATTAAATTCTTTGGCACAATCCAGATATTTTCAACTAAAATAAGAAACCAGTTCGGTGTAAATACAGTCGTTACTACTTCCAGATCACACACAAGATTTTGAAGGCAGCCTGTGTCCCATTCAGCCATGAACAGGCTCCGGAAAGCAAACTTTTAGGCTCTTTATGCTCAAGATATATAAGGCACAGCTGTTCCGTGGGTGTTGGCCTGGGCCGAAGTCGGGTCAGAAGAGGTTTTCCCCCTTCCCGGAGTTGACAAACTGCCAAATTAGGAAATTCAGAGTTTCAAGTTTTTCATTATGGTTCAACTATAACATCCCATACTTGCTGACAATTATTAAATGACCTTGTAAAATTAAATTTAAAATACTTTGAAAACCACAATAATGGCTATATATGGTGATGTTCAAGAAAAAACAAGGATTCCAATTCTAAATTTCATAACATTTTACATTTGTGTTTAAGTTATTGCAAGCTTTATGTGATTGATGTAAATCGCTAAAGCCTGAATTATACTGCATCTAATTCCGTCATGGAATGGAGGTTGGCCCATCCCTCCGCCCATTTTACAGGTGGGGGAACCATAATTTTCATGTCTGTTTTATAACTACTGTATCCTCTGAGCTCGGCTGAAGGCCTGGCATGAAATAAACACTCAACAAATGTGTGTAACGTGAACAAAGCGGTGTAAATTCCCCGAGATCACCCACCCTGCCCGCTGTCTTTGGACTGAATCCGACAGGAGGGTGCGGGATGGCCGGGTGGTGAATCTGCGGTGAGCCACTCCAGACTTCCGCGCGGGGCGTGTCCTTGGGCTGGCCCCGGGGTCTTCCTTTGTGCGTATTCCGGGCGCCTCACCCTCCTCGAGGGTTTACCTCACCCTCTTACTCAGAGATGAACCGCTTTTGTTTCTTCCACTTGGTGATCACAGTGGAAGAGTCCTCTGGGCTCTTGAAGGCGGGGCGGCCGTCCTAGCCTGGGGCCGGGAGTCTCCGGGCCTCTGCTTTCCCGGGCTGCTGGCCATACCTGGAGGGCAGGGCGGGGGGAGAAGCAGGACTTGAGTCACCTGGGCTCCTCCGGGGAGGGCCTCCAGGGACCTGGAAAACTGAAGGTGCCTCAAGTGGGCGGGATGAGAGGTCGCAAGAGGCGAGCAGGGAGTGTGCCCCAGGTTCCCACCGCCCTCCGGCCGCCTAGCAGCCCTTGGACCACCCTTTGACCTTAAAACGGCTGCGGAGCGCGCCTCCTCCGCCGGAGCGAGACCCAGCAGGCCCGGCGCTGGGCGTGCCCTCGCCTGCCCAGCCGAGCGCGGAGCTCTAGTCTCTACGGGCGGCGCAGTGCAGCCCGCTCACCTCTTCTGGCCTGGGGGCCCGCGCCGCGCCTGGGCGGGAGGTCCCGGCGCATCCTTGCCCGGCGTCAGCGCACGATCCTTGCCTGCAACTGCCAGCGGAGCAGCCGCAGCCACCGTGCGCCCTCCGAGCCCGTCCCCGACTCGACCTGGGTGGCCTCTAGGGGCGCAGCCTTGCACGTGCGGGTCTGCGAGGGGGCACACCACAGGCTCCGTGAAAGGAGGTAGGTGCCAAGGGACTAGAGCTAGGGGGGGCGGAAGATCGGCCGGGAGGGGAAGCCCAGGTGGGCACGGCCGGTTCCTGAGACCGCCGCCCCCTTCCATTCTGCGGCCGCTTGCACTTAAATAGCTGTTGAGTGAAAAATAATGTCCATGGCGTGCGACAACCTTCTCCAGCCCTGCGCACCCCGCCGCGCAAATTACACTCTCCAGCCGCGCGGTTGCTGCCTTCAATGGCAGTAAGGGGCAGGTTTACCCCCATCCACCATACTGTACCCGGGGGACCCCGAACCCTGCAGAGCTGGCAAAAGGCAGGCCTTGAGAAACGCGCTTTTCTCTGGTCTTCAGGGAAAGCAAAGGAGGCAGTTTCCCTTATCTATCAATCATCTGTCATCTATCTAATCATCTATCCCCTACCGATCATCTATCATCCTTCCTGCCTAGTTTTCTAGGCGGAACCCCCTCCCCCCACACTCGCGTATCCCGCCCCCGCCCCCACCCCCAGCGTCTGGCTGGCTGGCTGACTTTCCTTCTTGCATTTTCTATAAAGGACAGGAAAAGAGGGAACTTCACCCAAAGAAGGCATGTCTGCTGGTGCCTTTGCTTCTCGTTCTGGTCTCTAAGGTGCCCTTTCGCGGTTGAAGTTTGCTGCTCAACTCAACAAGCACCAGCTTGTTGCAGATGAGAAATTCAATCAAAAATGAAGGCGCAGAGAGATAGGGTAGGAATGTGGAGAAACCAGATTGTCTAATTTTAGCCTGGATTTCCTTGTAAGGGAGCCACCATCTGTTGCCTAACAGAACTGTTTGGATCGCTCAGGTTAGGAAAAGAGAGAAGACCCTACAGTCTGATGCTCCTGCAACAGGCAGTAAGGACTCACCTGTAAGGACACCTTATTTTCTTTATGTGCAAAACGTTTTAAATTAACTAAGCCTCAAATCACAGCAGTTTAGAAATCGTAAAGATCTTAAAATCCAACAGCCCAATGCCTTGTTAGGAGTTTGACTGCGAAAATGGTATCTTTGTAGTTTCCTCACTGGGTAAGATGACAGCAGTAGAAATGCTTAGTAAAGGCTACTGAGAGTTTAGCTTATGTCGTTTTAAGAGTTTTATTTCATTTCGGTGTTGCAACAGTATCAAGGATGTGTCCCAGTGTGGCGCTTACGAGTTTAAAGTCAGAAAGACATGGATTTCTGTCTGGGCTGTACCATCTAACTTGCTGTGTGATTTCCAGCAAGTTGCCTATCCTCTCTAAGCCTGAGTTTCCTCCTTTTTAAATGGAATTGCTGAGAGGATGGAGACAACGCAGGAACAGTGGTCAACACCCAATAAGAGTAAATCACCCAATAAATATATAATAAACAATACTTGAGGCTGATGATGATTTGAGTAGTTAAGTCCAATATACTCATTTGGTGGCACTGTCCAAGCAAGGGGTCGCCGTGTACACGGATGTGCATGGGAAGAACAAGCGTTATATCACTGGTGTCCTTCTGGTTATAAAAACGTTACAAGCTACTTCCGAACCTTTGAATTGCTTCAAACAAATGAAATCTGTCCTGTGCCTCTTCAGATTTGCATGTTTGTCTATTTTGTGTATTTCAAGATACTCTGAGCCTTACCGTTATGAACAGCTTCAAATGAACACAAAGATGGTGTGATCCTGATGGATTCATTATTGCTTATTATTAAAAATAGTGTTCCTCAGATGTCACTGTGGTCCCTGGTGTAATCTTGATCTGGGTAGGTTGTAGGGAGGAACTGAGCCCTGGAGCTAAGGTTTCACTGGGCTGTTTCAACTCACAAGTGTGAGTCATAGACTAGCATGGCCTGGAGCTTGTGGTGAACGCTGGGTCTCCACCTCCACGGAGACCTGCTGAGTAGAACCTGAATGTCAGTTTGATCAGCCCCCTTCTTAGGTTCGAGGGCACTGGCATTTCTTAAAAATGTGCCTTATGAAAACATAGATTTCTTGTAAGCTGTCTAGTCAAGTGGAAAGAGATTTGCTATCACTTAAACAGCTGATTTTATTTTAAATCTTTAAATAACCAGGAGAGAGATATTATCACTTGCTTTGTGCTTAAAAGTAACAGAGAGCTTATATTTTATTGGGTTGGCAAAAAAATCCATGTGGCTTTTTCCACAAAGTAAAAGACACACATTTCATTTTCACCAATAACTTTATTGATTTGGATATTTGAGTGTATCTCCTGCATGGTATAACATTGATTGTTCTCAATGTCTGAGTTTGATCACCGTCAACTTCAGCTGGCCTACCTGACTGTGGAGCACCACCCAGCAAGAAATCTCCAGCACAAAACTTAGCAAACCACTTTTGACATGTTGCATCAGTCATAGCACCTTCTCCATACACTGCACAAATCTTTTTTGCGTGTTTCAGTTGTGTTTTTACCTTTAGTAAAATAATAAATTTTGGCGTAACATTTATTATTTTAGTAGACATTTGGGCATAACGTTTATGCCAAAAATGTTGCAAATTTTCTTCCATCTTCAATATTAAAATGGCTACACAAAAATTCATCAATTTTGATGTCTTTCTAAATGCACACTGATATGACAGTTATAACAGTAAAATCGAACAAAACTGATTCAAATGAAGTTAAAGACAACGAACCACTACTAGAGCCACTGTATGGAGAAAACCAAATGAACTTTTTGGCCAGCCCTTAAGTTCTGCCAGGTTTAGATTCCAGTGTTCCTATTACCCCCTAAGACATTTCCATTCTGATACTGCTTAGCTGAAATAGACACTTATTTTGCTTTATTTTTAGTTTTTGAATTTTTATACCAGAATATGCCATTAACATTTATAGGAAGAATATAATAATACATATGTATTAGAGATAAAGAATGTAATGACGTCCTTTTTTAAGATCAACTTTATTGAGATATACTTTGCATGCATCCAGTGTTACACTTAAAATCTGTTTTATTGTAGGTGAATTATACTTCAATAAAGTTGATTTTTTAAAAAGGTGTCATTAAGGATTGCTATGATTTGTTGCCTGTTGCTAGAGTAGCTCAGAGAAAGTCGAGAAAAGTCAATAGAGAGGGAAGACTGAAGATGGATGCATTGGGCTGGCACAGAAAATAAATAGCCCAGTGGTCCTGGGGGAAAGAAAGAATACATTTAGAAGGCTTGATACCATTTGTATAAGGCTTTTTGTCTTTAAAATTAAGATGCCGAATTTAATATCTAGGGATCTGAGAACCCTGCAGATTTTTTCAAGAGGAAACTAAAAAAAAAAAAAAAAACCAGGAAAAAAACGCTTTGCTCTGAGGGTCTCCTTCTCATGTCTGATCTCTGCCTTTTCACGCAGCAGACACCTGATTGGCCACGATGCTGTCATCCAATGACTTTGCGTCTGGCTCTTGGGAGCTCGTGGTCCAAGTGGACCATCCAAGTAAAGAGAAGGACAAAGACATCCCGCTGAGAGTGTCCGGAGACCTGCATATCGGTGGAGTGATGCTCAAGTTAGTAGAAAAGATGAGTAAGTTTCTGTTCTGTTGTCCGACCACCTAAGTTTTTCTGACCACTTATCTTGTAACGGCCCAGAGAGCAAGCACCCTCCCCACCAAGAAAAAGAGAAACAAGGGGCCCTGCAGCACCCTTAGACTGATCTTCCCCCACAACCCTTGTAAAATCTTGAGTTGTTGGTGACCCGCTAAAGCTTCGTACTAGTTATAAGACCATATTTCCACAAGAAGGGGTTCATTCCACTGCTGACATCTAGGGTGACCTTGGACTATTTCCAAGGTGTGGAACTACTGTGTCAATTCTCTGCTAATGCTCGTTTGCTCGGTGAATAAATCAGCTTGGTGCCAATGTGCCCTTTAACACTTCTTCATTCGCTGTGCTCCCTGTTTAAACAAAGAAAGAGAACTTTTCAGGATCAGAGTTTCACATTAGGAGTCAACACAATCAACCTAGAATTTAATAATATTCTATTTGCTTGCACTTATTTTTATCATCTAAGGTCATAGATGTTGGCTTTCCATTGATACTAGAGAAATAAAGCGCTTTTCCCCCTCTCTTTTCTTATTGTTGTTCAAGTATGAAATAAAGCTTTTCTGAAGTAAGTCTTCATTAAAGTATAATATACATACAGAAACTTATCATAAGTGTACAATTCAGTGGATTTTCGAGGTCACATAACCACCACCCAGATCAGGAAATAGAACATTACCTTTTCCCCCACCCGAGTCCCACACTGGACCCCTCCCCGTCACTGCCCCACCGAGGTCCCACTGTCCTGAATTCCAACACCACAGGAATAATTATACTTGTTTAGAACTGCATGTAAGTGGAATTATACAGAATATAATCTTATGCATTTGCTTTCTTTCACTCAACATTGTGGGATTTATCCTTACTGAGATTTATAAACCTGTGAGACTTACAGTAGTTCCAGTGGACTCTAATTGGGAGCTATGGAAAGTCCCTTGCGATCCAGTAGTTCAAGGATACATTTCTATTAGAGAAATTATCTTGATTAAACAAAGCCACAGGCTCCTGGCCTTCCCAGAAAGGACCATGGCACGAAGAGATTCAAGGAAGAGAACGTTAGCGTTTCGATATGAACAAAATATGTATGTTTCTGTTCCTTCCACAGTATGTAAGTATCAGTGATGGTAAGGTTCGGTCTGAGCGCTGCCTGTCCCGCCTTAGAGACTTGGAAAGAAGCCCCAGATTGTTGAGTTCTGGGTTGTTGTAAGAGGAGGCGGTGCTCAGAAGATCCATCATTTGTTTCAGTTTTTGGACACAGTGAAATTCCATGGAATGCTGTCCCTCTCCTTATACTTCCCTGTGTTTTCTGTTTTTGCAGAAATCGCTCAAGACTGGTCGGACTTTGCCCTGTGGTGGGAACAGAAGCGATGCTGGCTCCTGAAAACGCACTGGACCCTGGACAAATATGGAGTCCAGGCAGACGCAAAGCTCTTCTTCACCCCTCAGCACAAAATGCTTCGCCTCCGCCTGCCAAACATGAAGACGGTGAGGTTGCGAGTCAGCTTCTCGGATGTGGTTTTCAAAGCCGTCAGTGATGTCTGCAAAACCCTGAGTGAGTACCCTGGAGGGGCCCCCCCATGCCCTTTGCACTGTTAGCAAAGGAGGGCAGAAAAGTGCTGTGTGCTTTCTGCCTGCCTCAAGCGGTTGGCTTTACAGAGTACTGCCTGGATTAGGAAGCACACTTTTCAAGCCCAGTTCTGGAAAGTTGAGCCTTTTAAGTGCAGTTAAACCAAATGGGACATTGTTGAGATGCATCAGATTTATTTCCACAAAGCTTAAAACTATTTCAGCCCTGACTGGTGTGGCTCAAATTGCTAAGTGTCCTCCTGCAAAGCGAAAGGCCACCAGTTTGATTCCCCATCAGGGCACATGCCTGGGTTGCAGGTTCAGTCCCCAGT